CTCACACACGCGTGCCCGGTGTGAGTTTTAAGCCACCGGGTCCAGGCCACGAACCGTGGTCGACTATATGGGAGTCCAGCGACATAGCCATTACGCTAACTGCTGCTCCCAAAGAAGCAATTTTTTAAATAAAGAATTATTTATTTAAATAATTTATTTAAAATAAATATTATATATTTATTTAATTCATTTTGTTGTTTTTATTTGACGAGAGAGAGAGAGAAAAAAATTGAGAAAGCAAGCTGGCAGGTCTGGGAATTGAATCATGGTCAGCCACGTGGGAGTCCAGCACCTTAACTGCTACTCCATCTGCTGGCCCCAAAGAATAATTTTATTTAACTTTATTTATTTTAAAAAATTTGACCAGAGAGGGACAGAGAGAGAATGAGAGGGAGAGAGAAAGTGAGAAAGCAAGCCATCAGGTCTGGGACTCGAACTACAGTCGGGCATGTTGGAATCTAGTGCTTTTAATTACCACGCCACCTACTAGCCCCAGGTCATTCCTACTGATTACTATTTTATATGCAGTGCTAGGATATTAACTGACCCATGGTAATGTTACAGTTATCAAAACGTGCACATGGTATAAATCACTGCAATATTCTACTATTTTATTATGTTGTCCCAAAGGTTGGAATTTAGTTACTTATAGGTACAAACTAGGCACTATCTCTTCTATTGAAATCAAGCCTCTCACCTTTTGCCCCTGGGTTTCTGTACATTCCATTTTCTGAAGTGTTCTCCCTGCATCTCTCTCTTTCCTACTCCAAATTCCTTACTTGTACTTCACGTCTCAGTAACATTTCACTTTTTCAGAGTAGTTTTTTCTGAACCTCCTCTGGTTTAAATCATGTTAACATCTTCATCAAACCCTTTGTTTTCCCTTCAGAATATAAGTTAGGAGTTGTAAATACATCCTTCCTGTAACAGGAGAGCTATCAGATCCCCAGTTTCGCTGTCACAACTCCAGAGCCTGGTATAGTAGTGTCTGGCAGATGGTTAACTCTAAATGTTTCCTAAATGAAGGATAAAGACTGTCAGATACTTTAACTGATTACTATTGTTGATGCACAGACACAAAACTATTTAGGGGTAAGTCACTGTGTTAAATTCAATACAAGAATATGATTTTTAGATGTCAGATTATGTTTTAAACATAAATGTCACAGTTAAAAGGAATGAAAAAAAAAACATTCTAGAAGGTACATGAGTTCACTGGAGGGAGAAAAGAACAGAGAGAAGTGAGAAAGCACCTCCCCTGGGGGATCGTGGCATGGCCATCCTCCACGCTTCCTTTCCTTTCCTTTCCTTTCCTTTCCCTTCTCTCTCTCTCTTTCTTTCTTTCTCTCTCTCTCTCTCTCTCTCTCTCTCTCTCTCTCTCTCTCTCTCTCTCTCTCTCTCTCTCTCTCTCTCTCTCTCTCTCTCTCTCTCTCTCTCTCTCTCTCTCTCTCTCTCTCTCTCTCTCTCTCTCTCTTTCTTTCTTTCTCTCTTTCTTTCTTTCAGTTTCTGTAGTGAGCATGTTACTTTTAGCAAATAATAATTTTAAAAGATACTGCTATTGATATATATAAAAACTGGTAAACGGAAGAATATTTACAGTAGGTTTGGACCAGACTAGGAATGGCTTCCAGCTTACAGTGGTTCAAGCATGAACAAAATACTGATCCTATCCAGCCGTAGACTTAGTACAAGACTCATAAATAACAAAGCATAACTTAGACTGCAATAAATTCAATATACAAGTGACATGCTGTGTGAAAATGGAGATATGATCTGTTTGAGAGAACTGGGTAGGTCTAATAAAGAACGTGATATGAGAACTAAGGAGAATGCTAACTGAGAAGGGAGGTTACGGCAGGAAGTGGGTACACACCTGACTGAAGAAAAGAATGGGAATGAGCAGATGAATGTGTGGATGAACAGGTGACAGGACAGGAAAGCAGTATTTTCACAGTACAATTAGACAGCAGGCCTTTATTCTAGTTTTTTTTTTTAAATATATTATACAATTACTTATTCAGGATGAATTTCCTATCAAATTAGTCCACAGGGATTGCTAACTCATACTAACTATATGTCTAAACTAATTTTGAAACACTTTTACTTGTACTACAGGCTTTTAAATAGCATAGTATTTCTATTTGTACAATCATCCACTAGAAGAGGTGAAAATTTCAAATTTTACTATATGGACATTATTTTAGTCAATTGGGAAAATCCACATTTTCAGTATAATTTAAAATAGTCTCTTTCCTCTATCCAGTGAACAAGATTAGAGGGGGAAAAATACACTACAACTATACTGTTCGAGGACAAGCAGGTGGTATGGTAAAGGTCCTGGACTATATCATATGGCTAACCTAACCATGGTTTGAGTCCTGGACCTGGTAGCTTCCCACATGGCCAACCATGGCTCGAGGCCTGGACCTGGTGGCTTGCTTTTTCATACTCTCTCTCTCTCACTCTCTGGTCAAATTTTTAAAAATGATAAATTAATAAAGTTAAAATAATTCTTTAAAAAAATCATGCTGGACACGTGTGTGTGTGCCCAAAAATCCCAAGAGGAAAATGGAGGAAGGGGAACGAAGTATGGCCATCCCCTGGAGGGTGGGGAGGTGGGTGAGAGTTCTCATTTTCCCTATCTCTTGCCAATGAGCCACGCATCCTATAGTAAAAACCTAAAAACAAAAACTATGCTGTTTCTACCATTCAGTGTTATCAGCAACTGCAATGACCTTTAAAGGCACATTAAGGAAGTACAGTATTGGGACCAGCAAATGGCATAATGGTTATGTTGCTGGACTCCAACATGGTTGGCTGTGGTTTGAGTCCCAGACCCAGCAGCTTGAAACTCATGCCAGGCACATATGCATGTGACTAAAATTCTGAGAAGAGAATGAAGAAGAGATTGTGGTGATGTCTCACTTTCCCTCTAGGTGGGTTTGTCTCTCTCACCCCTCCCCCAGACCATACATGCCCTAAGGTAAAAGCCTCTTTATTTAAAAAAAAAGAAAAAGCACAAGATTTGTCTATTTTCAAAGAGGTTTATTTTCTAAGTTTCTTAATTTTCTACAATTACTTTTTTTTTTAATTTGACTGTATTTATTTATTCATTTTTCATTCAACCAGAGAGGGACAGAGTGAAAAAGAGAGGGAGAGAGAGGGAAAGTGAGAAAGCAAGCCACCAGGTCCAGGACTTGAACCGCAATTGGCCACATAGGAATCTAGTACACTTAACCAGCATGTCACCTGCTGCCCCTACAATTACTTTTCTTAAGAGAGATTTTTGCTATAAGGCACACGTGCCCGCTGGAGAGACAGAGAGACAGAAAGTGAGAAATGACCCCTGCGGGGGATGGCCATGCCTCAATCCCTTCCTCTCCATCTCCTCTCAGGAATTTGGGCACACACATGCCCAGCGTGAGTTTTAAGCTGTAGGATCCGGGATTCAAACCGCAGCTGACCACGTGGGAGTCAAGCGGTATAAACATTACACCATCTGCTGGGTCCAGGACACGACCCGTGGTCGACTATATGGGAGTCCAGCGACATAGCCATTACGCTAACTGCTGCTCCCAAAGAAGCAATTTTTTAAATAAAGAATTATTTATTTAAATAATTTATTTAAAATAAATATTATATATTTATTTAATTCATTTTGTTGTTTTTATTTGACGAGAGAGAGAGAGAAAAAAATTGAGAAAGCAAGCTGG